AAAAGCTCACTCTTTTGCTTCTATTATAAACGATAAACGTTGTAAATGGAAGTTGCAATAAAAATCATTCCCAACGCAAACACTCTTTTTCTGTCGTTATTTGATAAACACCAGTTTTTCATGGATTATTCTCCTTTGAGGATGTTAAGGAGATTGATTTTGTCTTCTCCGATTGATGTAGTCCTTCTTCTTGACCTGGCTCCCCCAGCTTCTTCTGTAATTGATCCTCTAGATCACTAGAGTTTGGGAGTGAAACTTCTGGTGAAGCCCACCAAGACGAGGCTTCATCAAACACAACATTCATTGATGTGTAGCACCGTTCGGTTGTAGGATCACAACACCTCCATCCTTTTTTTATTGCCATACCCTACAAATATACATTTTACAGCCTTTTTATCGATCTTGCTACGTAAGTGATCAGGCACAAAGACATAACAAACACAACCGAAAACTCTAAAATGGCTTACAGTTGGGTTGGTATTCCACAACTTCTGAAAGGGCGACATAAACTCTAGCTTCGGTTATGGTAGTTGATTGATCACGTGCGCCGTAGTCTTCATACACTCGGCCCAAAAACGTCCTGACACGTTCTTGACATGGAGCATGTTTCTGCAAATTTTGGCGAGGTGGCGATTCTTTCTTTCGGCTATGCCATTCTGCTGTGGAGTATTTGGGCACGTTAGCTGTCGTTAAATCTTGTGCTACTTCAGGTAGTCGTAAAACTCCTTCGATGTGTACTCTCCCCAGTTGTCTGTGGGTAGGCAACGAATCTTCTTGTGAGTTCTCCTTCGACTTCGTCTCGAAAAGGCTGGAATTTAGAGAGTACCTCAGACTTTTCTTTCATAAAATCAACCCAGATATACCTCGAGTAATCGTCGATGAAAGTGATCATGTACCGCATCCCACCGATTGATTTTTGTTTTACTCGACCAAATACATTTGAGTGTACAAGGTCCAAATGTTCCTTGGCTCTGAATTGTGACTCCTGATACGGTAATTGATGTGCCTTGCCGTACTAACAACCTCCGCATATGAGCCCTCCTCAAATCTCCAAGTGTGGGAGCCCCTTCAACATTGACTTTCCCATCATAATCTTGAGCTTGTGATAGCTCACATGGCCCAAGCCGAGCATGCCACAGATCAGTCGTCTTATTCTTTTTGGCCTTATCTATGTATGCAGATTTTGTCGATATCACATAGACATATTCTACCTTCCATCCCTCCATGACATGTTCTCCTGGTGGCTTTAAATTTCGATTGACTTTTACATCTTGTGGCCCAAATACTACATAATTTCCAGAAGCTGTTAATTGGGAAACAGATAGAAGATTCTTTTTCATACTAAGTACATGGTATACATCTTGTAGTTGTATGCGATTTGGATTGTAGCGTTGTATAAATGTAGTCTTTCTGATGTGTGTGATAAGTAATCTTGAATTATTCGCTATTACAACTTCTTGCCCGCCTTTATACTCCTTCATGTTGACAAGTTTCCTCTTATTTCCCGTCATGTGATTGGAACAGCCAGAATCAACGATCCAATCTTTATTATAGCTGATTTCTTCTCGATCTGAAACCGCTGCAAATGCGGACTCAGATTCTTCTACAATCAAGGTAAGTGTCATACCAACAACCTCATCTTCGTCGACCAGTACATCTTCAATTATGGCCACGGATGCTTGGACATCTCATTCTTCTTCATTATCTTGACATCTGTGTGGTGTTGTAGCATTGCCTCTGCAGGCCTTCTCTTGTAATAGCAGTCTCTGGCAAAGTATCCTTTCTTCCCACAGTTGTAGCAGCTGTTGTCAGGTCTCCTTGCTCGACAATCACCTTGCTCCTCATGATGTTGTGTTCTATCGATGTATGGTCGTCCTGGCTGTCTCCTTAAACCAACCTTTCCATACTCCTCTTTTCTCGTGCCTCTTGATTTGCCTCTCTCCTTGCTGTTGAAGAGTGCTTCATCTTTACTTTTTATTGAAACGACCGCCATTTGTTTGGCTAGGATTTTCTATGTAGCGAGCAAACTCTCCAACTCTAATAATGTTAGTTGAGTCGGCCACCTATGTGCAACAGCAATGAGGCCGTGATATTCCGGTCTTAAATCATGGATGATTATTCTCCTCAGCCTTGCATCAGATACTTTATAATCTAGATCTAGTTGAGCAATATCCGAACAAAGTGATTTTACTTGCTTGAAGTACTGACTGGTTGTCAGCTCCTTCTATTGCAAGGTCATCAATTGATTCTCTAAGAATTGAAGTCGAGCATCATTCTTCTTCGAAAAAAAGTGTGGCGAGCGTATCACATGCCTCCTTCGAAGTTCTGGCATCTCGCATGTAATCTACGAGATCTTCTTCTACTATGGTCTTTAATACATACATAGTCTTGTCGGCTTTGATGTTCCACTTGCTTAGTACTTCGTTAGCCTCCCGAGGTGTTGTAGTTTTAGCACCTCCGATGACCTCCCAGAGGTCTTGTCCTTATAAATAGGACTTCATACATGTCTCCAAGTAGCTATAGTTATTAACATTGAGTTTCTTGAGTGTAGTAGTCGTATTTGCCAGATTCTCCATCGTGACGTGGTATTGCTTCAGTACCTCCACGCAAGTCTGGTCCCTGACCAACCAACTTCATAATCCCGGACTGAACACGAACTTCGACCTTCAAGAATGCCGATAGGATCACCGTAGAAGAGAGCAGGTCTCTAACCGCCTTGCTTCCATCACGATCTACAACTTACACTATTTCATGTGAACAGTAACCGTACATATAAACAGTAGCCGTATTTATGAATAGCAACCATACTCGTGAATAGTACCTTACTCGTGAATAGTAACATGTACTTTCAAATTGTAAATGATAATCTAACTTATTTTCTGATTCGGAGGATCCACCTTTGGTGGCAGTCAAAGAGCATACGATAAGCAGATACACGCACCATAATTCCGGCTCTAATACCACTTGTTGAGTTGAGAGGAGTGGTGGACACTAAGACACTAAGAAATATATTGTTATTATTTTTTTAGTGGTACAAACACCCTATACTCTCAAATACAAATACTCTCTTTCTCTCCCTCTCTCTCTATCTTTCTCTTTCTCTGCTATTGAGATGCCTTACAAATCAAACTTAGGGGGGTATATATATATAGGCTTTCTTATGGGGTAGGTATACACTATCAGGGGTTATAGGGATTACTTGATTACCGTAGCAAGTTAATTAGGTGGTGGGGTTAGGTAAAGCTGCTGACATCAACAACTCCTTCAATTCACTTTACATTTGCCAAACACCCCTTAATTATACATCATTCCGTTGACTATTGATTCGTCCATTAGAGTCACGTTGATTAGGCTCCTTCCAATTAACCAAAACGTCGTCATCAGTCATCACCGCACAATCCCACTATTTTCTGTTGGCCGCGATTTTACATTAGATTTCCTCCCGAGACGCCAAAAGTCCAACAAGATCGTGATAAGGCCGAGTGTGCGACTCGAAATGGGACCGATAATTAAACAATCTCCATATATACTTGTCTAACAAAACATCAGTACTCGCTTCATTGTAAGCATTGTTGTGATAATTCCTCGATCTCCATGAGAACAAAGTACACAGCTTGTAGGCAACAACAACGTATTAATCATAATGAACATGCTCAACATATACCAAGAAGTTTAATTTGGTACGTAAGAACACGCGTAGTTTCTATAAATTTTGATCATAATGAAGTGGAGAGGGACTAGCTCTGCTAATACGAACAGTGCTCAAAATGATCCGATAAATATACGCGCCTGCAGTAGTAAAGTTTGCCCGCATAATTCTTCCACGCTTTTCTTCAGACTAAAACCAAGTCCTGTTCCGTTTGAATGTGCTGCTTCACACTCTTGAATGATTATGACGGGGGAATCATAGCGCCTTTGCTAACGACAGAAAGGGAAAGGCATCATTTGTCAATGGCCAGAGACCTGCCTCCACCATCTGATTGCTCTCTAGCCAGCTCCTTTTTCAACACCTAAAAGCTCTCCGTTAATCGCGCTGCCTCGAGAGCAAATCGATCTGATTTTCCAATTAATTATTAAAAAAAATCAAGATCCTAATAGAAGTATTATAGTATTTTTTGAATCTTTAGTTATAATCAGCGTCATATATAGACCTATGTCTAAATTAAGTTGTTCCTCGTATATATGCGGTGCTAATTAGCGGCGTAGTGCTACGTACACGATTAAGGTGCTTTTTTGTTCACTGATCAGCAAAACATATATAGTAATGGACACTCTAAACAGTCGGTCATCTTGACTTTTTCCCATTAAAAATAATTAATATTTCTTAACATTGTAATTTGCACACTAATTAGACTCGAGAATATTTTTGGTGACTGCAAGCGATATGTGTGTATTATTACATAAGGTTTGATGCGGGAGGGAACACACACATGCAGCGTGCTAGTCGCCATAATGCACGGCCCACCTTCCCCCTCAATCCTCGCATCATCACTCGGAGACACCGGCCAATCCCCTCTCTGATTCTTACTGTCACGCCCTTGCCCTGCTCTAACCAAAAATGAAATGGTTAATTGCACAAATTTTTTTTTTGGTTGGGTTGGATTGGGAGTGGGTGGGGCCATTAAACTTTAATATTTTCTGATCGGACATCCTACCTGTAATTTGCAAATAATTATAATTTTCTTGAGAGGATCCTTAACTGAGGAGAAAGGACACGTCGGCTATAAATTATAAATGTTAAAATTTAATGCTTTTCTCTTGAGGACATTTTAGTTAAAATATAGGTATGTGCAAGAGAAATTTTTTTTGAAGTTCAGTGAGATGACACCACAAAGTTTAAGAAAGGAAGTTATACGAGGTAAAAAAAAAAGTTCAGAAAGATCGTGTGCAAAACCACCAATAGTTCAGGGGATTTTGTGAAATTAATCCAGAATAAAATCGCCATCTCTCCCCTCTCTCTCTCTCCCCCTCTCTCCTTCATTTTATATGTATATATATATGCATACATCCAACCTCACCAACATACACATCCCTTAACCTCTTGCTAACCAATTTCATTCATGGCTTCCTTCAGGGACAACTCCCTCCCTCTCTTCCTCCTCTTCCTCGCCTTCTCCCTCCAAATTCAAGCGAGAGAGAGCCAATTCTTCAGCAAAGTATCCCCGGCCTCCATCGCCGAGGAGCCGGCCACCGAGCTCCCCCCTCTTCCCCTCAACCACCACCGCCACCACCACCAAAAACAGCTACAACTTCAACAACAACAACAACAACAACAACGGTCATGCTTATATGGAGCCTAACAAAATTCCCTCAACATTCACAAACCCCGAATTCCCAACCGAAAACTACGAGAATGAGGAGAAGAGAAATGTGAATACTTACAATACCCCCTTCACGTTTTCGGATGAGGAGTTCAGAAGATATGAAAGCAAGAACGTACCGAGTTATTCACAGTACGATAAGCAGCAGCAGCAATATGGGATGAGCGATACGAGGTTGTTGGAGAATGGCAAGTATTTTTACGACGTGAATGCGGAGAGATACGGTAAGGGGAATACGGAAGAATACGGTGGAGGATATGAGCCGACAAAGGGAAATACGGAAGAATATGATAGAGGATACGAGCCGACGAAAGAGAATACGGAGACGACGTATGCGAATGAGGAGGGTAGGGATGGGTATGAGTACAAGAAGGAAATGAGCCGAGATGACTACGAGCCATGAAATTTGTGGAGGGGAGAGTGAGAAGGATTAAGGGGATGCTAGCAATTTGTGCGGGTAATAAACTAGGAAATTTGTGTAGCTAGGCTATAAGATGTGGAGTCGCGCGCGTAGTACGAAATGTGTTCGTGATATGTTTGGGCTTATATTCGAATTGTTGTTGTTCAATTTACATGGATTTAGCAAAGTTATGTGAATGATATGAGCTCTGATTCTGTTTTACAAATTATGTTATGTACGAATAGGACAGGTAAAGATCGTAGGTGTGTGATTCTTAGTGGATCGGGTTTAAGCTTGAGATGCTTGGTCCAACAATTATCCCACGCTTTATTTTTTTAAATCATCCCGATTGTTATAATCAAAGTTTTCAGAAGAGGTTCTTGATTGAAATCCGGATGGTTCTTCATAACATGAGATATATCCATGGACGAGCCTCAGATTCTCTCTTTTTATTCCATTCTTAATTCATAAAGGAAAAAACTCAGGTTAACTGTCCTCTGGGCGCCTATCATATACATCGATTTTATTGAGTTCTGCTGTTGAATGATGCTTAATTTGATTGTAATGTTAGCAATATATAGTCTAGGAATTCATTTAGAACATCAACAATTCTGAATTTTATAATTTAGATTGTGTTTAAAAAAAAACTTTTATAATAACCAAATCCAGAACCGGACCCAAGACCGTGTAGACGTCAAAAAATGCTGAAAGATATCCAAATACAGCCCAAGAGGAGATCATCAAAAAATCAAAAGAATACAGATATGAACTGTCTCGCCAGCGAGATAGTCTTTACTGTCTCGCAAGCGAGACAGTGTTTACTGTCTCGCAAGCGAGACAGTGTTTACTGTCTCGCAGCGAGACAGTCTTTTACTGTCTCGCAGCGAGACAGTCTTTTACTGTCTCGCCAGCGAGACAGTGTTTACTGTCTCGCAGCGAGACAGTGTTGAAATGGTCAAAAACCACCTTGATAACTGCCGTACACGTGTCCATTAACTGCCAAGGACGTGGAAAACACCCGGGGCTATAAATACCCCCCGAGATGATTTTTTAGGGAGGAGAGAGAGATCAGATCCAGCCTAGATCAGAGCAAACCCAGAGGCTGAGCATACAGAGCAGAGTTCTTGAGCTTCAGGCAATTCCTTGAGATTCTAGCTTTGACTTGATCTTAAGAAGAACGACTATCTTACTTTGATAAGATCTCGTTTCAAATTCTTACTTCGATAAACGAAGGAAGAATCATTAAACCCCTCACGATTCAATCAGAATCTGTGATTTGGTGGTCCACGAGTCAAAGCGCTCCCGGCACAGGCAAAGATCCCACGCAAGCAGTGATCCAAACAACGACCCTGTGTTTGTTTTTAAAAAGTTGTAATTTTCCTTTTGTTGTGTAAAAGAGGTCTTATAAAAAGACTATTTCTTTTGAATTTATTGTAATCGACCGAAGATATAATGAATTCCACAACGAGATCAACTTTTGACGAAAACAAGCTGGCGACCACAGTGGGAGCCAATGGTCTCGCTGTCGAGACCGTCGTGTCGCAGCCGATCAAGATTCCAGTTGAATCCACGGTCGAATACGAGTTTGACCAAACCAAGTTTGAGGAATATCTCTCATCATCCTCTTCAAGATCTTCATTATCTCGCATGTATAAGAGGATCTCATCATTGAAGAAGACTTATGCGCCAAAGAAGGCTAAAAGTGAAGACTCTCGCCCAATCGTTGTTGAGGCCTTGCCTCGCAACATTATCCCGGCGACCCCCAAAGCCGGAAGCTCTGCTCATAATGATTCCACCCTAATTAAGGAGTCATTCGATCGAAGTTCGCCAACTCTGACGAAGAGGGCTCGTCAGAGGCGACGCCAACGTCGCGCTCGTCAATTGGCTAAGGCCTTGGAACAAACCGATGGAGTTCGTTACTATGCGGACTTAGAATCGAGGAAACATCAAGTGGTTCAGTCGCTTCAACGTCAAATCACCCACATCTCAGCAAAACTTACGTCGGAGGAATGGACTCTTGTCAAAAGGGCCCGTTCGACCCTCAAAGAACGCATACAAAAGCGTATGGCAAACACCGCTCGTGCCCGTGCTCTTTTACAACAAAGACGAGAAGGAAAGAATAAAACAGTGTCTAAGGAAGCACCAAAGAATCACAAAGTATGGATCCCCAAATCCAAACTCGTACGAAAATTGGGTCTACAGAACATAACCTTTGACCGCGGCAGTCTTCACTGCCGCGGCACTTCTTTCAACCGCGACAGCTCATACTGTCGCAGCATCTCCTTCAACCGCGGCAGTCTCGGCACACTGTTCGACCGCGACACCAATCACTACCGCGGCTAAAAGAAGTTTCACAAGAGCACTCCTTCGACTCCATCAACGTCCGTTCCGAGTCCGTCTACTGTGTCAACACCCGCTGTGTCACCAGTGAAACCCTCGGTCAGTCCTGACCTGTCGAACTCTAAAATTATAATGGCGGATGGCCTCGATCCTTTACCTGAAGATCGAGGTAAAGCTCCGGTCAAAAAATGCTTGGATCCGGTGAATGAACCCCAAATAGATTCTTACACTGGGGGTCGTAAGTATCCTCCTATCAAGTCAAAACAACTCCAAGATGGGAAAACCCTAATTTCTACCCGTTTGGGAGTTCGTAATGAAACTCAGGAGCCCGTTAAGACTCTGCACTTGCAAGGGGGTGGTTCTAAACATGCGACTTCTGACGTGACCTTGGATCGCTCAAATGCGACAACAAGTTGTCCTGAGAACGCCAACAAGGCTTTACATCCTCAGAAGAAGACATATTCGTCAAAAGACATTGTTATACCTGGGGGTTCATACCAACAGACGATAGGATTCTCTGGTAATTATACCGATGAGTTGTATTATCAAGCTGGGGGTGTGAACAAAACTCGAAAGAGGATTGTCCGAGAAATGAGCTCTCATTGTTTCTGTATGCGACTCATTAGAGCAGTACTGTCAGAATGTGACTACTCCGAACGAGAAGCTATCCTGCAAAGAGTCTCAGTGTTCCAAAGGCTTTTCACCGAAATGTTGAAGCCTAAGCCGAGACATTTCCGCAAGAAAAGATCAGCTGTCCAAGAGGATGAATTCCCTGAAGTCACCATCAACATGGCTGATAAAGGAAAATCTAAGCGGCATTCAAATGAATCAAATCCCGACCTTTCCCCGAGAGGAAAAGTCAATTCAAGAATTTCCAAACGGATGTCCCGACTCCAATTAGGAGCCATCAGACGCATGGATTACAAGAGAATGCATGAAGGAATATCCTCGGAGGATGAACTTTCAGACACTTGTTCAGCCATTGCTTCTGATGACACAATGTCTAGCACGGGGCAAACCAGAGAAGTGCTCACAATCACCCCTGATCAGTTTGCTCAAATGCTTCAAGAAGCTCTAGCCAAACAACGTGAAGAAATTAGAGCTGAGATAAAGACAGAAATAGAGTTGGCTATTCAACAAATGAAAGAATTGTAAGCTCAACGGCCTCAACCTTCTGAATCCAGTCAGCGAGCTGAATCCAGCCGCCACACTCAGAATGTTATAGATGACAGCGATCCAGAAGTGGATGAAATCATTATGGCTGATATACCTTCCAATGATAATATTACTGGGGATGGTTCAACGGATCCTCCCAACAATAATATTGGGGGTGGTTCAATTTCACCTTTTAATAACACTGTGGGTGGCCCAATTATTTCTGCTCAACATCACTCAAAGAGAGATGAAGATGAGGACAAAAAAATGCAAGACCTTGAACATAAAGTCAATGCTTTGAAGTAAAGAAGACGAGTATTCCGTGTGCCTATCCAAGAGAATGGGATTCAATACCGTACCCGGCAAAATTCAATTTGATTAACTTCACACCGTTTGACGGGAAAAGCTCGCCTACTCAGCACTTGATTTATTTCAAGTCTCATTTGGGCATGATCTCTGGAAATAAGGCTTTAATAATCCGGTCATTCGTTGGCACCCTTCGTGGGCCCGCCTTCGATTGGTACCGACGTCTCAAGCCAGGAAGCATTAATTGCTGGGATGACATGGAAAGTTTGTTCCTCAGCAATTTCTTCGATGACGACACCGAAGTATCAATTGGATCCCTTTTAGATGAGAAGCAAAAAGACGGAGAGTCAATCGACAATTTTGTCAAGCGCTTCCGTAACCTGCAAACATGCCACAATAATCTCTCCATCGATGTCCTGGAAGCCCTAGGGGTCGTACCATCCAAAACATGGAAATAGTTAAAACTACGTGGTGAACAAGCTGAACACTTTCTTAAAAGAAAGAAAGTTGAGAGAGGTCAACCGATGACATCCGCAATTCCTGTGAACGTGATTCTCGATCCGAGGTTCTAAAAGGAGTATTCTTTCGAAGATAATGAAACTCCAGCCATATTGAAATACCTCCTCGCCAATGACAAAATTGAGCTACCACCTATTAAAGATCAAGAGGGAGCTAAGAGGATTACGGATCCAAACTACTGTGCGTACCACAGAAGGGTTCTTCATCCCACCGAGATTTGCTTTGGACTCAAAAATAAAATCCAAGCATTAATTGACTCTGGCGTCATAACGGCGAAACAAGCCAAGTGAAGATGACTCAAACTCCATTGGATACACGAGTATAAACTTTTCTCCTTAACTCCAATTGGGTGCACGAGTATAAACTGTTTCCCCTCACTCCAAAGAGTATACGAGTATAAACTGCTCCTCAATACTCCAATAGGTATATGAGTCTAAAACTGTTTCCTACTCTTGACGGGAAGTTCCTGGAGAATTTTTACATGTAATATTCTTAAGGATAACCCACTTGACGGGAAGTTCCTGGAGAATTTTTACATGTAATATTCTTAAGGATAACCCGGTTATGTAACTCAACATGATGTTAGACCCAGTTTCGCGAAGAAAGCTGGGGGTGGATGGTTCATGTAAAGGGAAGTTCTCGGAAGAATGCTATATGTAACTTTCTTAGGGATAACCCGATAAACACTACATCCCCATGGTGATTTCCGAATACTCTTTTGTTGAGATGAGATTCGATCACTTTTTTAGATCAATCTTCCCTCACAAAACTCATATTTGGTCAAACCTTTAAACAGTTAGGACCAAAGCCAAAATCCCCTCTCGATTCCTTTTATGAACGAGAGGTCCACAAATTAAATGATCAACCTTTAAACAGTTAGGATCGTCTCGAATTCCCATTTG